CCATTGAAGATTTAATTTTCGAATATCAACACCATCAAGAAGCTAGTTTATATTAATATCGTCTATATAAGTACTTGAACTATATATATAGAAAAGAGATACATACCAATTCTCCATGTGTAACATCATAAAATCGTTCTAATAATTGAATTATTGTTGATTTTCCACATCCAGATGCACCTGAATCGATTATATTATATGATTAATAAACTAGAAAACATTATTTATTAAAACATACCAACAAGAGCTATACGTTGACCTGATTTAATAGATAATTGAAGTTTATCAAGAACAAGAACTGTTGGACGACTTGGATAAATAAATTTAACTTGATTAAATTCTGTTTCTCCACTAAAGTTAGTCTAAACAATTCAAGTTTAAAATTAACAATTTAAAGGCAATAGTTTTTCTTCTTTTTCTTTTACCAATTCTTGTCCTCTATTAGATCCATTATCAATAGTTGGTATTCGATCAAATAGATCAAAAAATGCGTCAGCAGCAGCAAATGATTGACCAATACGTTCGGCTCTGAAGTAATAAATAATAAAAACAAAAACAAAAAAAAATAAATTCTATGTCTTACAACATTCCAACAATTCTTAATAATTCTAATGCAAGCATTGCAAAAGCAGAAACTCTATAAACATAAAAAAACAATAAAACGTTAATTTGTAAATTATCAAAATTATTGTATCAGTTACATAACAACATCGCTCATGTCTATTTCATTTTTTTCAACAAGAATCAAAGCACGCCAATACAAAAGTCCTAAAGTCAATGGACTCATTGCAAATCTCAATCCATACACTGTTGCAAATACTGCTTCAGGTCTCCAAGACAATCTAAACAAAAGATAATTTATTGAAGACTGACGTCAATAACTGTAAAAAAAAGAGAGCTATATTCGGTTTTATTAGTCCATTATCGATATAGAAGAGCATGTTTTTAAGAAAACTAATCAAGATTCTTCAAACTACTCGAAGTTTTGTTTATTACTTTAAATATCTATTTAGATTTCAATTTCGATCTGCTATAACTAGAAAATAAACTGGCTACAATCAAAGTAACTATATGATCAAATTTTACTCAAGTTTCGATTTTACTATTGTTTTCTCAGTTAGTTTTTACGATTTTTCATTACTATGCAAAAAAGCTCTTTTTCAAATATACATATATGGATAGTATGCAAAAGACTAACATTAATACTTGATCAATCATATTCGTATATTGTCGTAAAACTTCGTTTTCCATTGATAACTGTTTTACTGTGCGCATATTGGTAATAACTTCAACAGCAAGCTAAAGAAGATAAACATAGAATGAATATTTTAATAAACATTTGATCAAATAATGTGTAATATCATAATTCTACTACGCATTAAACGATTATGAATAAAAAGATGGTTTTACCGTGCTAGCTTGAGAGTAAATGAGATTAGATTGTGTTTTTAACCATGAACTCAATCGTATTTGAATAATAGTGGCGATCAGTATGATAATGAAAGGGATAGCTATGATTACTGTTAATTGCCAGTTGTAAAAAAAGCCAAGCAAGAAACCAAAAATAGACATGGATAAAGCTTGACAAATAACACCTAATCTTGAACCAGCCATATCTTCAATAGCAGCTGCATTAGAAAAGAGTTGAGTACATATAGCACCAGAACTGTTTTCAGGTCGATCAAAATAAGCTACTTCCTGACGAAGAAAACATGCGAAAGTTTTTGAACGAAGGCGACTAACTAATTTCGCTCCTGCTACTCCAAAAGCCACAAACTGTAAACGAAGATGAAAAAATTCATTAATATTGTTTAGAGATAATATAGTTACTTGGAAAAAATGAAGAATCATAAAAACAGCGCCGATAAGAATAAATAAACCACTTGTAATCAACACTCGGCGACGTACATCACTGTATTTACAATCATTAAATTCCTAAATAAAAGAAACATTCGACAGAAAAAGACACATCATTTATCTTTTGTTAGAATATTCATACGAATAAAATCACTCACATTGATTATTTTTGCGAATAGAATTGAGAAGACTGGTCCTCGTAATCCACCAAGTAAACATACTAAACAACCAATCAAGATAAACATCCATTCAGGACTATTCATCTTCAAGAGTCTTAGGAAGACAGCTTTTTTTCTTGTTGATATCGAAGCTCTCTAGAAATTTACACATTAATGATAATTTTTTAAAGTTATTGGATATTTATTTTTACCTGATTTATATCAGTTGCTTCGCTCTCACTCAAAAACCGAATACGTTCCACTATTCGAAAAAAACAAAACAGAATGGAGTTTATAAAATAATAGAATCATGAATATTAGAAAAGTGACATACATATTTGTTCTTCATCTTCAGCTGCTGCTTTTGCCATATTCATTAAGCCATCTTGTGTATCAATCGTTTTTTCAGATTGTTGCATTTTGACCATTGTTTGATATTTCCCTCCTTCTTTTGCCAATAATGTTTCATGTGTACCTTCTTCAACTACACTTCCTTTATCTAATACATAGATATAATCAGCATTTTGGATTGTTGTCAAACGATGAGCAATAACTATAGTTGTACGATCTATATATTAATAATAATAATAATATAATCAACAGTAATTAAGTAATTTTTACTTTTGCATGCTCGATCAAGTGCTTCTTGAACAGTTTTTTCGCTAACATTATCAAGTGCACTTGTTGCTTCATCTAACAAAAGAATGTTGGGTTGTTTGACAAGTGCACGAGCTAATGCAATACGTTGTTTTTCACCACCACTCAATTGTATACCACGTTCACCAACAAGTGTTTCATATTTCTGCAAACAAAAATATTAATATAAACATATAGATAAAGATGAATATTTAAAAATAAACATTTGGTAATTTCATAATGAAATTATGTGCATTGGCTTGTTTTGCTGCTTGTTCAATCTCTTCACGTATTGCATTCAATTTACCAAAACGAATATTTTCATAAATACTTATTCCAAATAAAACCTATTTCAATATATAAAAATTCGACAGAGACTAAAAAAGAAAATAAAAGAAACCTACAGGTTCTTGACTAACAACTCCAATATTTTGACGAAACTGTTTGATTTTATAATCTGTAATTGATTGACCATCAACCATAATTGTGCCTAAGGAAGGTTTATAGTAGCGAAGAAGAAGTGATACACATGTACTTTTTCCTATCACAATAAATTTCAATACTAAAATTTCATATTTGTTTCAAAAAAAGATTTACCACAACCACTTGAACCTACAAGAGCAGTTGTTTGATTAGCACGAGCAATCAATTTAAGATTATTCAAAGCTGTTGCATTTTCTCTAGATGGATAAGAAAAACTAACATTATCAAATTCAATATCACCATTAATATTAGAAATAGATCTTTCATTAGATATGTTCTCTTGTAATATTTCTCTTTCGTTAATATTTCCATCATGTGCCTATATCATAAAATAAAATAGACAACATAATTACCAAAGTTTAGTATCTAGTATTCCATGTATTTTACCTCATCAATAAGTCGAAATACGGAAACTGCTGCACCTTGAGCTTCCAAAATTGATTGGAGGAAAGGTCCAATATTATTAAGATAACTTAAAGCTTGTGCAAACATATTTACAACCTAAACAAAAGTTCTTTTTTTAGTTACTCTCTTGCATAGTGATGTTATAGCTGACTTACAACAAGAATATCACTAATGGTTAGTGTATGATGAGTTCCATGAGACATAAGAATAGAACCAAAATTAAAACCAATTGAATAAACCAGAAAGGATATAAAAAATAACCAACCAGTAAAAGCACCAAATGCAGCATCTTTGCGTACAGTACACCATTCATTTAGTCTTAATTCTTTATCATATCTAGATAAAGATAAATAATATAAAATAATCTATAAATCTTTGTTTGTTTATTTACTGTTTTTGTTGCCATTTGCTTCCATTGAACGAAAGAACAGTTCTTAATGAACTAAAAACTTCTTGAGCGATTTGCCCAGCTTTTGAATATGTATTTAATTGTTCTTCTGTTTCTTTCGTGATGAGCTAAAATTATTGATAAAGATTTTAGTAAATTAAACAATAATTTCTACCTTAGCAAACATTAATGAACTACCAACAATAATTGGAATTGTACAAGACATGATTAAAGATAATTTCCAATTGAGAATAAAAGATATGATTATACTAAAAATCATGACTAGAATAACTCCAATTGCTACTAAGAATTCATAACCTATCCCTTTTTTGATCTTGTCAATATTACTGGAAAGGAAATCGATCATATATAATTGTTTGGTATGAAGTTGTTAAATTTACTTACGTAAAAAGCTTCGAACTGTATTGAGTAGTTTGATTTGTATCCAAATATGTCATGTTCTAAAAAATAAAAAAGAGAAATAACACATTATTTTATCTTAAATCATAATTTAACATATAAATGTACTGAAAATGACAAGTTCAATATTATCATGTTCTTTAAAACTATTTTGTAATTAATTAATTTAGACTATTTCTAAATTGTATTGATAATAAAATTTTCGTGTTGTTTTTTACAGTAAATTTTTGTTCAACATGATCTTTGGTATTGGTCCGTACTATCATTCTCGACTCTTATATATTTTGTATTAGTTATGCTCATAATTTAATTGATATACTAACGATGTTTTTAGAATTATTAGTTTTGTTGATTAGAGAAATATTTTGAAAAAAAAAATCAGAAATCGAGGCCAAAATGCTTTACTTCATTTTGTTTTATGTTTGATTTTGAACAAGAGGCATAAATAGAATAAACTGTATTTTAACTATTTTAATCGCTTATAATCATTTATTTGAGTTACTTTTCAATGAATAACTGTCTTTTGAAGAAATAAAAACATTTATAATACAGATATGCACTAAATTTAAGTCATCTAGTAGAAATTTTGATACTATTCAATATTGAATTATGGCCATGAACTATGAAATATTTTATGAATGCAAAAAAATATTTTAACTTACACGTTGAATAAGTGATCGAAAGAGTAAAACACTCATACGGGATGTTTGTCGTTGCGTAGCAATTGTCCAACACGTATATTCAAAAAAAGAACATACAAATGTTAAAATACTGAAACCTACAACGACATAGAGAAATAACAAATCGCTTGTTTTTTAAATTTAAATCATCATATTCAATAGACTTACCGAAGAACAAATAAACTAAGTGCATAACATTATCATGAAATAAAGGCGTTAACGGAGCTAATGTGGTTAAAATAGTTTTATTATCATAATGGCATAGTCTACAAAGAAAAAGTTTAAGAATATTTAAAAATAGATTTTTTTTCAGTAAATTACTTATGTAATCGATCATAATTTAATGCATTAAGATCAATACCAAAAGGACATACAGTATTATTTATAATTCCATATTCTAAATTTTGATATTGATTATGACAATCAACAGCAAATGATGTAGTGGCAAATAATCCCGTGATTCGACCAAAAAGAGTTAAATTCGCGAGAATACCAATGGTATGCCCCAACAGCGAACACAGACCAAGAATTAAAAGAAGAATATCAATACGATCAGCAAATCGAAACTATCATTGAATGAAATGAATTAATTTATATATATATATATATTAAAAAGAAAAACAACATGCTTTCAGTTTAGTATTTTTATTACTTTATCTCATGATATTTTATGTTTGAATATACTTACCAATTGTAAAACACCGACTGGAATATCTTTAGTAGTATGCTTGATCTCATCGTCTAACTTTTTATTCTTAGCATCAGTCTTTTGCTGTTTGAAATATTGACGCCACTCAGAAAAACTATAAATAATAATGAGTTCGTTATGTGTTTATTAATATTATATTTTTTTTAAATCATACCTTTTGTTTTCATTATCATTATCATTTTCATTAAGTAATTTGTTATGTTTCTTTAATAGCGGCTCTTTATCGCTCATATTCTTCTTTTTTTCAAACACAAATTAGCATGAAACATGAAGCTTATTATCGGTCTATATGTATTAGTATAAAGAATGATTGAATATTCTTTGCTTCACTGATTTTTCGTCCTATACCTATTTTATCTGTTTTCTCTTATATTATCAAAAAACGTGGGCAACACTATGTAAAAGGCAGAAATTTTAGATATTTTTTCATAGATGCAAATCTAATTAACATTTTCTTCGTACCTGCCGCGTAGGAGTAATAGGTTCTCATTAAAGACTCAGAGATAGTAAATTTAATGATTGAGAAAGACTAAAAATAAATGAGAATATCATATGTAAAAAGGCGTTCAAATCTAATTCTAAAGCATTTATAGATAAAAAAAAATAAAAAATAAATTATCGATTACTTTTAATCTCTATACAAATTAGAATTTTATTAACCGTAAAGAAAACAATAAAATAAATTAAAGAGGTATAAGAAGTCAAAATCATCAATCCAGTTCTACAATTAAATTTATATATATATTTATAACAGATACAATTTTATTTTAAGATTATCATTCATTTGCAAATAGTTGTATAATACCGACGAGATTTTTTTATAAGACTAAATATAATATTCATTAATAATATAATTTTTATTTTCCGTACTCTTCTTTTATTTATTTATTTAAAAACAAGTTAGCTTTCGAAATGCGCTGTATTTATTCATCAAACATTTTTCTACTGTACATAACATTCTACGCATTTATATATACATATTATAAAGAGACATTGTCTTTGTTCTTTTTCTTTGTTCTTCCTTTGTTAAATATTTAACAGTGGTAGAGGAGACAAGACGGTAAGAGTGACTAAGTCGAGTTTGAAACCTGTTCTGTATCAATACTAAACGTTTAACAAAAAAAAAGAACAAAGACAATGTCTCTTTGTAAAATGTATATATAAATGCGTAAAATGTTTTGTACAGTAGAAAAATGTCTGATAAAAAAATGTAGTGTATTTCGAAAGCTAACTTGTTTTTAAATAAATAAATAAAGGATGAGTATGGAAAATAAATATCAATTAACCGTTTCCAACCGAAAAGAATAATAATATGATTTTATTTACAAATCGATTAATTATACATAAATAATTGCTTCAATCTTCATTATGACATCGAGTTAGAAATATATTTATTCAACAAAAACTAAAATTTATACTATCATTCATGTTAAAGGAATGTGATTATAGATTGGTTATAACTAATGAATCTTTAAAATAACGAATTTCTTAAACATATTAGATATTTTTAAATAAATGAATGAAATATTAGTGTTTGGAAAGAATTAGAAACGAATAATAGGAAAACAATGACTTCATATTTGTCGGATACTTGATTTAATTCAGTTCCGTTGGTTTGTATCAAGAAACTTGTTGCATTTAAATAACAAAAATAGAGAGAATAATTTATTTCTTTTGATTTTCCTGGTTGAGTCGAATGGAAAACATTGAATAATACATATGATTTAATGGTACAAATGAAACGTTTTGACGGCTGTACCCTGTTCTCCTACCAAAGAGAAATTGTATGACCTCAAGCAAAAATGCGTCAATCACATGGAGTTAAAACGAGCAATTTTTTTTATAATCACATTGTTTTCATTAAAGTACAGTCCTACAACCTATACAAAGAAAATTTTGCGAAATAGTCACGAAATAATCGATTTATGTGTACTTATTACTGTTAAAATCATATGAAAATAACCGATTATTTCGTGACTATCTTCTAAAATTTTCTTTACATGGGAAACACACACAAAACAATAGCACAGAGAATTTCTCAATCCATGTTTTCATTCATTCATAGAAGTTTAAAAGAACTCGAGAGAAATACCTATTCAAGTACATGTCTATATATAAATTATTTATATTTTTTCTTTCCATTTCTCCTTGATATGTATGACTCGAGGATGAAGTGAAACAAATTTCCTTATTGGCTGTTTCAGTTATGAACGGCTCATTGATATAAGCATATTTAATACTCTACAGTCGTATAAGAAATGTGATAGAGAATCTTTGATTTATTTTAAACGTGTTTGATGTATGAAAAATAATATTTGTTTTCTTTATTTGCTGATGAATGAATAATTATATAATCTTGCATTTTATAAGAATATGTCAATTAAAAGTTATTTCTCTCAGCAAAAATAAATAAGATATTCAATCTATTAAGAATAATCTCAAGCGACAAAATTAATAGAAAGAAACTTTTGAATAAAAATATAAGGTAAAATAAATGTTTTTTTTGTATCCATATTGGTTTTTATTTTAGTTTATTTGTTAATTAAAAAAGAAATCGACGACTAATCCTAAGAATTAGGACGAATATGAATAAATTGTGAGTGTGAATGAGGTTCTAGACAACAAGATAACCAAAAGAGTGCAATGGATGATCTAGCGGTTTCTTCGTGAGAAGTTCAAGTCATTTCGCTCTCCATTGTGGCAAACATTCATTAATATAAATATCAAAATTAATCTTTCTTTTTAATTCTATCACATATTTTGTTGTATGATACTCTGTATTAAAAATATATAATTCTTGACAAGTGACATATGAAGTGATCTGATGGAATATAGAATATTTATTTTTAAACGTGATGATGTTTTCTATTTATAAATCATTATATTATATTAAATAGATATATACGAGTCAAATTCGTAATCTTCTCGACAATAAGTAAAAATATAAAAACTATGCAACATTTTAATTCATAATTAGTTTTTAGATTTTATTTGACCTAATCTACATTTACTTTGGTTTTAATTCATGGAGCTATCTTTTTTTTTAAAATAAATCATTTTCATTTAATAATATTAATAGGAATTTTTTTTTAATTAACAAATTATATTATACATTAAAGAATAACAATTCTCAATCCATTTTTATGCTAAAGACTGAGAGATAACATATGTATCATTTTGAATAAAGTTTATAGTCATTCTATTTCTCACATAAGATCAAGTACAAATCTACGATAAGAAGTTTTATGTACTATTAATTCTGCATGTGTACCACTTTCCAGTAATCGTCCATTAGGACTAAGAACATAAATAAGATCACATGAATGTTCAACAAACTGAAAAAGATTAGAAATAACATAAAAATTTTGATTATTAATTGCTTTCTACTTATTTAGTATAATGTCAAATTTGTCAACTCTCTATTATGATTTACATTATTAAGTTTGAATAAGATAGAAATAATATAATATCTAATATTTTGTCGATTTCTATTTTATAAAAAATAGACAAACAAATTTTATTTACCTTTTCATTATGTACATTCAACGCACCCGTTCGTTCAACAAATAATAAAATTTTTCGATTACGAAAAAGAGCTCATGCAATAGCAATACGCTTTTTTTGACCTCCAGATAAGAACGAAGTTCCATTCAATCCTACAGGTGTATCATAACCCTAAAATTTAATAAAATAATCATTTCAAAGCTCAATATGTCATATAAGTAAAAATTGCGTTTTTTTTATTGTATTAAAGTATATAAAAAGAGTAAAACATACCATTGGTAATGCTTCTATAAAATTATGACAATGAGCTCGTCTAGCTACATTAATAATATCTTCATAAGTAAATCTATGTGATGAACACCCATATGATATATTTTCGCCAATAGTAAGACCTAACATAAGAGCTGGCTATTGACTAATAAGACCAATTTGTGTTCGTAATCATGATAAATTTAAAGTTCATATAACATGACTATCAGCTAACTATTAACAAAATCAATATTTAAGATCATGTATATATACAATCAATCATGTGATTTCTGATTTAAGGAGAAGAATTATTTAGTCATATACTTATACACATAACGTAGTGTTCTTTGAAACCTTTTGTGAACATACGATACATCTTTTTATTTTAAGAACAAATCTCATAGATAACTATTAAAAATAGCATTGAATTTGACCTATTTTGTTTAAAAAACCATACGAATATATCTTAAATCGATTTTCATATTGTTAATTACTATGATGAAAACAGAGAAACAAATAACGTGCCGCACGTTCTTTATTATAATAGGAAAATCGTTCGAGTAATTGAGTTACACTTTGACTAACAATTTAATTTCAATTCAATTCAGAAGTTTTTGATTTTGTTAAAAAATAAAAAATTGATTTAAGTTGATTTCTCTCGAGATCTTTAATGAAATTTTCGAAAATATCAATGTCGATAATCGATCGAAAAATGATCTAAGATTTGATTAGATAAGATATCGAAGAGAAATTTCTTTGATATCCAGATGATGTACATCAGATTTTGTTAGATTTATTCAAAATATGATAAAATAAGAATATTTTTCCAAATCTTCTCAGTAAATAGATCACATATAAACAATGTTTTTAATAGGAATCTGAAGTATAGTACCTTTCGACACGTCGAATGTGTAACCAAAGTACCATTTGGTACTTTGCTTTGAATGGCAAAGTGCCATACCGTGCCAAAGGAAAAAGAAACATGTCATGAAAACATATCAACAACAATCATAATAAATACAGTTGTATGCAAAAAAACTTGGCCAAAAATCTTTTTTAAGATAGCTATTTTTCTACTGTTACAAATGAATATGAAACTGATTTTTCCAGAGATGAATCCTTGAGAGACATACTACATGTTGTATATATAAAAGTGTAATTTTTTCCCCTTTTGTATTTTATAAGTCAATCAGAAGAATATGAAATTATAATGTTGTTTGGTGCTCTTTGTGGGCTAACTACCAAATTATAAACTAATTCGAAAAGCACCTGTATAAAAGAAGATATTTGTCGAAGAAGATTTCCAAGTTTTTTTTGCAAACAACTGTGAGAAACAAATATGCTAAGATAAAAATGGATTGAATAAACTGTTTAGTAAAAAAACAATAATATCTAGAGAAAAAAAAATTCTCTACGACTGGCAGCAGATAATAAATGTAGAAGAAGAACAGACTATCTTAGCTCCACCTACAAGTAAAATGAAAAGAAAGAAAAAGAAAAAAGTAATTTATGCATAAGCTATAGTATAATCAATAGGCAAAGTACTTTTTCATTTAACAAAGTGCCATCTTGGTACTTGTTTTTTTTCAGCAAAGTACCAAGTAAAGTGCCTTTTCCAATTTTTAAGTGCCGCCAGTACTTTGCTAACCTACCTGGCACTCGCTATTAAAAGCACTGCATATAAACAAATAATTCTATTGTTTCTTTTTCTAATCGATCGAATTATTTCAATGTATTGAAGATTTGACGTAGAAAAGGAAATAAATAATGAATAATAGAATAATTAAACAAATCATAGATTTTTGTTTAGACTGTTAATTTCTTTATCGACGACGATTTCAAATTAATCTCATAAGATTCTAATTTTGGGATAAGTATTGAGCAATATATACGAATACTAATTTCGAAGTTAGTTATTATTTATTGAGATTTTATTGAATACCGCATCACTAGTCGACGTTCTCGTCCTCTTCTTTCCAGGTTCTTGCTTTTCAGACAAGATTCTTGTATTCAGGCAAGATTCTTTTCGGCAGGAAAGTAAAAAGAATCACACAAGAATTTCCAGTAGACAAGAATCTTGTCTGAACAGTCGGAAATAAAAGAATCAGGCAAGAATTATAAGATATTCAAGATATATTTAATATTCAGACAAGAATCTTTTTCTTCCCTTTAAAAAGAATCTTGACTGAAGTTCAAGATAAAAAGAACCTGGAAAGAAACACAAGATATTTTAAATTTCTTAATATTCAGACAAGATTTTTGTAATAGAAAAGAAAACAGATTCTTGTCAGCTTTCCAAGATGAACGGCACGTGATGTGGTCTTTGTTTATCACATATATAAAAGCATTAGCTGACCGTTATTTATTCATAATCATTATTGGCTCGATAAGTATAATGCAAATTTACTTAGATTATTTTCTTTTTTTTGAAGCGTTTATTTAATTCAAACGATATCTAGTAAGTTATTGATTTAATTGGATGTATAGTAAAAGTTTATTTCATATCAAGAAAAACAATGGAATATATGATATCCATTTTCTCATTGTTTACTGAAAGCAATCCTTATTGAAACATATTTTGATATATTTGTAATTCATATCTCTATATTTTATTTTTTTTCTAGATTTTTCACTATCGATAAAAGTATTACATATAATGGACGAAGGAAATGTCAATTTATTTAAAAAGCTATTGTTTGATAATCCTCTTCGTATAGGTAAAATTTTAAGAAAATAAATAATAGAAATTTGTTTTTTAATTTTTTTTGTGTTAAAAATTAAAACTACTTCATGAATACGTGAAAATTAAAGTATTTTTTTGTTCTTTCATATTTTTTTGTACATGGTGTGAAATGCTTATAATAAAACGATATGAAAAAGGTAGTAATAACCTGGAAAAGGCTTTTCTTGATATGACCAGAATCAGGCAAGAAGCCTAAGAAATCAGAAACTGGCAAGAAAATCAAGAAAGACAAGAATCAGACAAGAAAACTAAGAAGATAAGAATCAGGCAAGAATTCAAGAAAAACAAGAATCAGGCAAGAAAAAAGAGAATAAGAATCTTGTCTGAAGAAGAATTTCTTGCCTCATCAGACAAGATTCGGTCTACAAGAATCTTTAAGAAAGGCAAGATCAGTTTTTTCAGACAAGAATTTTCTATGTAAAGAATTTTCACGCAAGAATCTTGCATGTAAAGACTAGAAAAAGAATCTAGCATGAAAAGCAAGAACCTGGAAAGAAGAGGACAAGAACGTCGACTAGTGTAGTTGGAAAAATCTTATATATAAGCACTCAAAAAAGATTGAACATATAACTGACGATAAACAAAAAAGTAATATTGTATAATTCCTAATCTGTTGAAGAACGTTATTAAAGTTCGAAACGTCAGTTAATATTTATGTTATAATATTTCATTTATCTTATTTATTTGTATTTTATTATTAAACTATCAAAATATATATTAAATTTCTATTCTTATTTAATATATTATGATTATTTATTGAAAAACAAAAGAAAAAGGAGGAGATAAAAACTATTACTAAAACTGTGATCTGGAATCAGGTAGAGTAGAGTTGGAATCAGTTCATAGACGAATCGAGAAAGGATATACAAGGATTTTGTGTTTTTTCGTTGTTTTTTGGATTTTTGGGTGGTAAGGAAGGGCTTGAACGGGGAAGTTGACTAGTGAAAAAGATAGAGCTCGTCGAGTTCTACTTGGCTCCAGAGACACCAGAGTTGGCTTCGGCTCTTAAGCAAATCGGGAAAGGAAATACTCGAATCTGGAGCTAGGATATCCTACGTGATATATTTTGATTGAATATAGGAGAAAAAAGTTTTATTTGCATTTTATTAAACAGAATTAAATAAACAAAATATTATTTTATTGATTTAAAAAAGAATTTCTTACATAGACTCAAATATAAATATAAGTCAGATTAATAAAAATAAATTTATTAAAAAGTTCTATATGGTTTTTAACTTTTTGTTTATTCAGAAAAAATATGAGCATGACCAACAAGACTTTGAAAGAATGATTCATGTGTGTATTTTATTCTTTTTTATTCATTCATTTCTATGTTCTTTATTGAGACACGCAATATTAACTTCAATCAAACCTTTTTTCTTATATCGTTTCGATCAATATCATTATGACTGACTGAATTACGTAAGATAGAACAATATAAACCATGTCTAAATCACAATTACTATTTCTATAACAGTATCTTCAGTATGAGTTCAAATATTACAACGATTTTTCTATATGACTTTCGATGTTTGACATTAGTTTTAAAAAGATTATACTTGTAAGAATAAATTTTCTTTGATATTATAAAAGATATAATTATAATAGGTTTTTCATTTTAATATAATATATTAGAAAAAGAATTGAGATGTTTAGTATACGAAAAAAAAACATTTTTTGCAATACTTGATTAAATTGGAATAAAAAATAAATTTTTCTGTAAGATTAATTATATTATTTGATATATCATAATTATTATTTACATTACAAAAAAAAGTCAATATTCTCGAAATTTTTACAATATTGTTCGAACATTAATTGTATCAATTAAAGAATAAAAAACATATGAGAAATAAAACAAAATCGCAAGTTTGAGTCACTTTATCGATAAGTTCCTTATTTGAATTAATGTATTTTTATTATTTTTAGCAAAGATAAGAAATAGTAAGAAAATATATCATTAAAATTTCAATCATTTCTATTTCAATCTTTGATGTCTACGAAAAATAAATCATTCATATAATAAACCTACAAGAAATAACGAGAGAGAAAAAAAATGAAAATTTTAGTGTAAGTAGGAATTGATTGAAAAGCAATGGTTTACATTAGTTTCTTTTTCGTTCTGTTACATTAGCACGTTGTCTATAAGAGATAAAATCTTACCTTCTATTAACGACGTGCTAAGGGGACAGAATGAAAAAAGTGGCTAGTATACGTTAACAAATAATTACTTTTTTTTCTTGTTTGAATAGAATAATTTTTTCTAGTTTTTCACCGAAATAATTTCTCAGATATATAATTGTATTGATCTAAATCTTTGTTAATCTTTTATGTTTGATTGAAAAAAACGAATAAATCTTTTGAAAAGGCTAACATTTAATATTATAAATTTACTAAATAAAGTCATTTTGAGATTAGATCATTGTGAAGAATACGATTCAATGTAATCATATAAAGACTACTTTTAGTTTTAATTGAATCATAACAAATGAAATATGTAACATATTTTATCTTATTTTCTTCAAAATTATATTTCATATGTTAAGAAATAATTAAATAGCACGTCTTGATTTAGATCTATATATGTCATCTAAACTATCTCGATTGAGAGACGAGTTCTTCATATTAAATTCAAATATTTAATATAAAAATAAATCACTGAAAAAAAGACACAGAAATGAGTTAAGAGAATAGAATGTTTAGGTATACATGTAAAAAGTAAAGGAAGTATATTGATAATTCATCAGTCGAAACATGTCTTATGTTAACCTTGTGGATCAGTGAATAGATATTTAAAAGAAACATTTTTATTGAAAGTATAATAGAATTTTGTTTGTAAATAAAATTTTAGTTGAACATTTTTCTTATTTAAATCATTTCAAGCAAATCTTAACATATAAAATTCAATGAATTTCCGCATAACTATTTAAATATTCTAAACTTAAAAATTTTATCTAATTAAAATAAAACATATTCATCTATGATAAATGTCAATTAACAAATAATATTTTTTTAAAATTTTTATGAAGTCTTTCTACCTATTTACTTTCTAGAATGGTGATTAATTAATTATAGAAATCAAGAAAGTTATTTTAAAACAACAAGATAAAATCTCGAATAAAATAAATAAAATTTTCATTTGTTTACTTATCAAAAGATTGCAACTATTAGAACAAGAAAAATTTCAAGTAAATGAGCAAAAATAAACTAAAGAGAACGGAAACTTCGAATAAAATATCATTAATGACTCATCATATTGTTAGATTATTTGATTTGATTTTAAATAAATATCTCTAATATATTCTTGTTGATCATGAAGAAATAAATAATTTGTTTTTTATAATCGTTTTCAAAAAATAATTCTAAATCGAGTTATTTTAGTTTAAATACAAACAAAAATCTTATTCATCACTTTTCTATGATTAAAGAAAAGTAATCAAAGATTTATTTAGATCTTTACTATAGTTCTATCAGAATATTTATTTAATATCTAACTATAAAATAAATAAAATATTTATTAAATCTATTATACTGATCATTGACAACAATTCGAATATAAAACACAAGAATTAAAATAGATATTTTTTTTTAATTTTATGATCTGTAAGAGACATTTCGAACCTAAAATTTATTTATGATTGAAATGATGATCATAATATGATGTAAAATAGTTAAATATTTCTACATCAATTATTCGAGTTGGGTATTATTTAATGTGCAAGAAAATAAAAAAAGCAAATACTTGATCAAGTAATAATCGCTCGTTTCTTTTCTTTTCTTTCTCTTTAGTAATGTAAAGACATAACTGCTGTCCTTTATCTATTGGTTTAATCCAATGCATCTTTTCTTATTTATTACTGCTTTTTTGCTTTGAATAATTTATCCTTCGAATATTATTGCAAAAATCAAAAGTATATGACAAGATAAAATAATGATTGATGATGGATATTCTTTCATTTGTATTTTGCTTTCATTTTTCATCTATCCTATTGAGTTTGATTTTTTTTCTTTTCTTTTATTTCTATTCATCATCAATGGACAATAATGAAAACAAATATTTTTTTATGTAGAATGAAGAGATATGTTGACGTAGGCGATATTTCTATATGAAAAAGTTCAAATAAAATGTGATACATTTCAAAGTTAAAAATTAATTCTTATAATTATATTGAAATTCAAATATACTTTTGTTGTTTTATTACATATGAGACTGATAGGATATATACGTTTCTTGCTTCATACTAATCAGAAATTGTTTCAATATAGAAATTAATAATCGATTATGACATGATTAGAAATGTATTTATTTCTATGTGCATTATATAAAAGAATCAAAAAAGATTTTAACTTGAAAAATCTTTGATAAAAATTTATAAGATCTAGAAAAAAACATGAAAATCTAAGGATTTAAATGTTAACTGAAAAACTACACTAGATACATTTTAATCAAATCAAGTTAATTGATGGTATCAATTGATTTTTAATGGAATATCATAAATGTTTCATATCTAAAAGAAACATCTTTAAATAAATAATTATATAATTTATCGTCAAAAACAAAAAAAATCACAGTATAAACTGTGCAATATCACTAGTTAATACTAGGATGATACAACTATTTAAATTAACATAAATAATACAATTAAATTTATTTGAAATACTTTTCTATCTTTATTCTTGATTCATATTAATTTTATACTCTTTTTTTTTCTTCAATACACCTTTTCATACATTTATATGTGTTTTTTCCACATGATTAAACACAGATATATCGTTCTCATATTCTTCAATCGTATGTTAATATCATATTCATATAGGTTGTCATTAGTATAAGTAGTATACATTTATAAAAGAATCTTTATTCTTCGAATTGTTTTATACACTCATTTATTCATCCAAATAATACAGTAAGATATTATCTGTTTCAAAAAACCTACTAATATCTTTTAAATAATCATTACTGAATATTTAATCATTTATATTTATTTGCTAAAGTATCATAAACAGATATTTATCATAACAAAACGTTATGCGATAAATAACTATTTACGAAAACTTTATGTTGAGTAAGATCTTGACTTCATCTATTTTATCCTAATTGTAAAACAAACATATTGTCACATCAAACAATTATTTATCAATATTTTGGTTCTCTATTCTGCATATTGTTAAATGTAAGTAGTATAACAACAACTCATGATACTCTTTTACTTGTTATTCATTTAGTTTTCTCAATCATCTTTAGTTTATTCAAATTCATCTCATTGTGAACAGTTCAATGTCCATTGTTATGACTCAAAAACAAGATGCTATACAATGTATCAAGTTAACACTTTATTTATATTTATCTATGATAAAAAATACTCTCAAAACTGCAACAATAGTAAATGCACTACAAACGATGAATATTATGTAACGTATTGTACTATTCTTTATTTTTCATCTCTTTTACGTATTTAGTATCAAATACAAATTACATATGTACTAACTCTGTTCTTTTAGCTTTTCTTATACTTTGAACAAATTAAATACAACTTAGAAAAACAAATGATAAAACATCAAATATATATATATATATATATATATTTGAATACTGTTTTGAATTAAAAATAAAATTAATCTTAGATTTTATTTTATTTTATATAATAATATTTATTTTAGATATAAAAATCTATTATATTAATCCACAACAAGAATATTTTAACAAAAAATACTAATGTCAACTATAAATAATAATACATCGTTAAGAACCAAGACCTTTAATAGGTATATCATGTGGATTAGCTGGTAATATTTATTCACAAAATGATTTGATCTTGAATCATTTACTGCTCATTTGCTTAATATGGATAATGATGAGCAACTTCTTCAAAAACTTCTTCGTGCTAGTTATTTTATGTCAAATCAACAATGGAATATGTTTGAAGCAAGTTTTTTTGGTTTACTAGATGCTGAAGCAGAAAGTGTTGATCCATGTCATCGAATACTTATGTTAAAATTCGTTCATTTACTTGATGACGCTGTATATAGTGTTGAAAAAGTTAATGGTACAAAAACATCAGTACATATTGGACAATTTTCAACAGACCATGCAGTTGCAACAACTTGTATGAGACCTGAACATCGATCAAGATTTCATAGACCTAATAGTTTATTACATAATGCTTCAACTCGTTTATCATATCATTTTAATTTACAAGGTCCAAATGTATCATTAGATGTTACTTGTTCATCATCTTTATAAGCTTCACATATGGCTGTATGGTGTCGATCATTTAGTGCCGATGCTAATCGTTACGATAAAGGTAAAAATTTCAATTGATTAGTTTTGTATTTAAAAATAAATTTCAATTTCAATTCTCTAGGTGATGGTCTTGGCCTTTCATTATTGAAACGATTTAGTGATACTGAACATGATGGAGATCGTATATACTTTGGTATTCGTGATGTACTTAGTGGGCATGATGGAAATGAAGATAAAACGAATTTTGTCGTTCTATCAGCTGCTGGACAAGGACGTTTATTAGCAAATATTTATTTCAGAAATAATTTTGATACTCAAAGTATATTATTTGTTGAAGCACATGGCAAAGGTACATCAGTTGGTGATCCATTTGAAGCAAATTAGTTAAGTCGATTTTTTAATCGATCAAATCTTGATCCACCATTATTATTAGGTTCAATTAAAAGTAATTTAGGGCATACAGAAGGTGCAGCTGGTGTTGCATCACTTATTAAAGTTGCTATGTATATGTATTATTGTGGTATTACAGCAAATCTGCAATTTACTTCACTTAATCCAAAAATAGATGCACAAAAATATAATTTACATATTTTTCAAAATTTTATACCATTTCCATCTCTTCCAAATAATGAAAAAATAGCTATAGGTGTTAATTCATTTGGAATGGGTGGTATAACGACACATGCTATTATTGAAGAATATCAACCAAATAAAACATCAATTGAAAATGGTCATATCGATGAAAATCATATTAAAAGCAAACAATATTTTATTTTTATTTTTTCATGTAAGTTCTTAATTTCTTTTCATTAATAAATAATTTATTTCTTCTTATTCAGCAAAAAGTCATCAATCTCTTAACCATCAATTAATAATATAGATGATGATGATCAAGCTTTTCTTCAACGTATATCTTAACAACTTCTTCTTAAAAGAACTATTAGTTATACACATTCAGCAATCTTTGTTTTTCTTAATCGTCAACAATTACAAGAACAAATCAATGCTTTTCTAACTGAACAACCATCACCAGGTCTTTCAATCATATAACATCCAATCAAATTATTATCACGAAAAATATGTTTTGTTTTTAGTAGACAAGGTCCACAATTATATGAAAGTGAACCTTTATTTAATAAATGGATTCATTTAATTGATGCGGAAGTGACGAAAATTAATAATGGTGAATGGAGATTATTAGAAGAACTAATTGAAAAGAAAAATGAATAAGAATCTCATATTAATGATACAAATATTGATCAACCAACATTATTTGCTATACAAGTTGCATTAGCAGCTTTACTTGTTTCATGGAATATAGATCCATCATCTATAATATCACATAGTGCTGGTGATCAAGCAGCTGCTTTTACTGCTGATCGATTAAGTTTAGAAGAAGCTGTTCGTATGTTAGCTGTTTCAATCAGTGAAGACGAAGTAGAAAATAAACTTTTGAAAGGTGTTGAACATTTGGCTTGTATTGCTGTTGTTAATAGTCTCTGTCTAGTAACAATAAGTGGTGATGAAAAAACAATTGATGAAATACAACAAATACTTTCAATCTCTTATCCAAATGTATTTAAAGCATGTGTTCGTATTGAAAATGCACTTCATCATATCAAATAAATCGATTCGATATTGAATAAGATATGTTATTATCATTAAAAGATATTCGTGGATATTCAATAAAAGATCAAAAAAAATATTTAATCTGATATATGCACAAGCAAAACTCTATTCAAGTGTTACTGATGATAATATGCCAGTTGATAGTCAAATGTGAGACAAGCTGTTCGATTTTATGATGCTATAACATTACTTATAAAAGATGTAGCAGCAAATATTTTTCTTGAAATTTCACTACATCCAGTTTTAGCAACATCTATTCATGAATGTTATGAATTAACAAATCAACAACAATCACCACTTATTCTTCCAACATTAAAACGAAAAGAAAATGAACAAATAACATTACTTACTAGTTTAGCACAACTTGCAACATTATCTCATGTATGGCAACAATATTTTAATACTCGTCAAATTTTATCAACTAAAAATTATGAAGAATATTTTGTTGACTTTCCATTGTATAAATTTCATTTGAGCCCATGTTGGTATGAATCAAAAGATTCATCTATACAACGTTTAGCTAATCGTATTCAAACTCATCTATTACTTGGTATTCGTCAATTAAATGAACAAACAAATGCAACATGGAAAAGTCTTATTAATATTAATTTACCACAATATTCTTTTTTAAAAGATCATAAAATTCAAGATGCAATTCTTTTTCCAGCAGTTGCTTATCTTGAACTTGCAACAGCTGCTTGTCAACAATTACTTTCATCATCTTTTGATGGACAACAACCAACAATTATTTTTGAAGATGTTAAATTTGTTAAAGTACTTATTTTGAATGAACATGAATTAGTTGAAGTATCTATACAAATAGTTATGGCAATGCGTGAATGGTATATTTATAGTCGATTATGTTCAGCAGCTGGTCCAGATTGTATGCGTCCATCAGGTATGAGTTGTACTAATGTTATTGATTCGTTTCGTAATCAAGATAATCTTAATAAATATTTATTAAATGAATTTACTTTACAGGCTCAAAGTAAAATTGAAATTGATTCTAAACAACAAAAATCATTAACAATACCTAACACATGGATAACACAAGATATAGAAAGTGCTTATGCACATTTTTCAACACGTGGTTATCAATATGGATCTAGGGTGTGGGTGTGGATTGGACCTTCTATTTATCCACCCACATCCATACCGCATACATACACCCACACATACGTATACCCACCCATACGTACACCCACGTATAAGTACAACCACTCATATGTACACTCACCCGCACGTACATTCACACCCACCCATCGGTACGCTCACCCACACTCAAGTCGACCGACACCCTCAATGGTATTTTACATCAAATTCCTATTTAAAACACTGCCTAGGATACTGAACTATTCTATTCACTGATCAGCAGCAGATTATATTTAAGTTATGCTGAGAAGATTCCACAATACATTGATATTCATATTTTCATATTTTCTTTTCGTTCTTTTTTGGAGAATATCATTGTGTTCGTCTGCAAAAGGTATCCTATATAATCGGGAAGTCTTGTAGATTTTGTCTGTCTATATCCAACATGTGAGGTAAATTTGACAAAAAAATCAAATTAAAATAATAAATATTCGACTGAAACATGCATCTTTTTATTGATTTTCATCAATTGTGGTTCGATTTTTTACCAAAGTTTTATATCTGAGGGGCTGTCATTTTCTACGTGCAAATTATACACAACACACATCAATACTAAGACAAAGTAATAATAAGTCAGAAGCGTAAAAAGGGTTTTCAGGAGTGATAAAAATTACTTCATCATGTTATACATTAATGATTTCAATTGAGCGGCACTGAACTCTTTTTCTTTTGTAGTAGTCAACATTTTTGCTTTTAGTTAAAGTTACGATTGTCCTTTCTGAATGTTTAATGCTAAGTTTGAGGAAGATAAAGATAATACCTGATCTTTTCATTAACGTTCACACTATTATATACATATTAATGTCTACTTTTTTAGATGACAGATATCTATCAATTGAAAAATGTTGGTCACATAATACTAATCACATCACCTTATGTTGGTCACATTATTCCATTATTGGACTTAGCTAAACATTTATCTCTATACTATCGTGTTACTTATGTCTTATCGGCATCGAAATTTGATGTACTTAAAAAACTGGGAGCCATTGTTGAAGATGAAAATAATAGAATTATTTCGACTCAATCTGGAATAGATTTCATTGGTATTTTTGATGATAATGATAGTAATTTTGAAGTAAGTTCAATATGACCACGAAATTGTACTAAAGAGTAAAATATATCACTTTGAAAGATTTTTAGTTCAACTATAAATGGTAACTTAATATCTGACATCGAGCGGATGCGTATTCCTCTTCGACAGTTACTCTTCCCTGAACCTGTTCCATCGTTCTCAGCTCCTTTACTATCAACTCAACGAATAGATCATCCTATTCACTTGATCGTCACTGATATGTATGTTCATACATTCATCCGGGATGCTTACGAAAGAGATATACCTGTTCATATATTTATACCGTGTAGTTTGACAGCTCTTTTCACTTTCATTGATGGTTTCAACTACGTTGGAGAGAAAATGTCAATGCCAGGCTACGGATCTACGATTCTCGAAACATACTCAGTTGCTACAGGATTTATTAGTAATTCCATTGATAAATTAGAAGAACACGCAGTTGCCGATTTGCGTCAACGGTCGCTTTCTTGTTCAAATCTACCTATTCGATTCGTAGCACCACTCATAACTACAGAATCCTTCAATATGCAAGACGTAAGATTTTTAAAAGAAATTCAAGATCATTCATTTGTTTTTACCATCCATTTTTACACGTATTTAGACGAACACTATTGCACATGTCAAACAATGGTTAGACAAACAATGGAAGCTCGCAAATCATTCGTCATCGGTTATTTATGTTGCGTTTGGTACAATTGCTCGTTTTACGGCCGAACAACACATTCAGATTGCTGATGCTCTAGCGCCTTATCCTACTATCTGGACATTGAAAGCAATAGATCACAAACATTTGCCATCCTCATTTATTGACAATGAAAAACATATAGTTCTTGATTGGGCACCACAACGATTCATTCTCTCACATCCAGCGCTTCACTTCTTTTTAACTCACGGTGGCTGGAACAGCTCACTGGAATCCATGTTAGCCGGAAAATCTATGCTTGTGTGGCCATTGTTTGCCGATCAGATGTTAGGTGGACATCGTATTGAGCATGAGTTTGGTGTTGGTTTATGTATGCAAAACACCAGTTTCAAACAAACTAAACGAATTATATCAAGCGATGAACTCACAGGATATCTAAAACAGATGTTTGATCGAATATCGAAATACGCTCAAAATGCTCAGCAGATACAACAAATGTTTATGCACGCAAAAGAAGACAGTTCGAGATTCTGTTTCGAAGAAATTATCAAAATAATTCCTGATCAAATGGTCGCTCCAACAGAAAAAAAAACAACAAACTTCGATGAGACATTAACTAAATCAGACGATTAACTTATAAAATGAACTATGAGTATAAGTAAAGTGGTATACTTATATACACCACATAACTTTATGTATTAACATGTAGTACGCATAATTTTTTCTTAAATACAGAGTAGTTTGTCCATCAGTTTATTATGTTCGATACAAAATGACTACATTAGAATTCGTTGATCATCAGATATATAACATTTTTATCTAAAAAAACATCTAGTTTGCATGATAAATATTTAACGCGTGGCCGAAGTTGTATTTCTTGTTGCTCAGTCAGCACATCTTCTTCGTAGAAATTAATTTTAATGAGCTTGCAAGTCTCACTCTGAATGACGTATTAATATATTCCTTCAGGTTGGGTGTGAGTGGGTCACTGTTGAGTCCAAAAGTACACGATTTCCAAATCGGTTTATTTATATTGATTTATAAATCATAAACTTTCCAATAGAAAATTTAAAATATTTGTAAATATTCTGGGATTTATAAATCGGGCCTATTCATAAAACTTTATTCGATTTATAAACGTTGAAACATTTATCAATACCGATTTGATTTATAAATCCGGTCCATTTATAAATGTATTTCTAATTCCCTCGACTGAAAGGAGCGTATTACGAAAAAAACGAAAATGGGTATGGGCGTGGCTGTGAGTTAGATACATGAGGTACACTAGCACTCACACGCACACCCTCACCCACATCCACCCCTCACACACACCCACGCCACACCCTCAAGATGGTTTCAGTTTCACCCATCATGACACACGAGTTATTTACACCCACCGTTTTCGGCACGTACTCATTTCACTACATGCGAATTTTATTTTGTATACACCACTCCTTTGCACATGATCTTACATGATTAGTAACTCCTTGCGGCCTAAAGGATTCAGTGCATTTTGGGCAAGTATACATGTTGCTCGAATTTCGCTTAAGTGCTTCCGTGACTTTGATTTGCTGTACACCAACTCTTCTTTTTATGGCCATATTCTAAATCAAGTATCAGACAAGTACAGTTATTATTTTTCTATTATTCTTTTCTAGTTGCTTAAAAACAATAATCTTGATCTTGATATCCCATAGGCTTATCGCCCGTTGGGGCCAACCACGGTTTGGATCAGGCTTTTCCATTGGTACCTGCTCTGCGTAAGGTGAACCAAGTCCTGAAGGCTGTATCCGCACCAATCTGTTATATCATCTAGCCATTCTCTGCATGGTCGTCCTCTTCTGGACTTTCCATCCATTCTAGAGAATACTATGTGTTTCAGGAGTCTGCTGTTGTCCATCCTGCAGATGCGTCCAAAAAGTCTTAATTTACGTTTTTTGATCACATCAATTATTGTTTCACCAGCACCGAGTTGTTTTCGTATGTCGACGTTTCGCACCATGTCTTTCCAATGGATCTTGAGTATTCTTCGATAACACCTCATTTCAAATGCCAATAACTTTTGTTTGTCCACCTCCTTTAGTGTCCATGTTTCTGAAGCATATAGTAATATACTGAAGACACAAGTAGTTAAAAGTTTTATTTTACTTTCAACTTTCAGCTTCTTTGTGTTCCACATATGCTTCAGACTTCCCATTGCACCCATTGCTTTGCCAATTCGTCTTCTTATTTCTTTCGAGCAATTGTTATCCCATGTAATCATGCTCCCCAAATATTCAAACTCCTCCACATTTTCGATATGTTCACCATTGATTTCCATTTGTTGATCTATGTTTTTGTCACCAAACACCATAGTTTTTGTTTTCTTGATGTTTACCATAAGCCCAGCTTCCTCTGCCAATCTTGTGAGTTGTTCGATATGTTCTTGAAGTGAGAAGTGATTATTGTTGAGAAGGTCGATGTCATCCGCAAATCTTAAGTTGTTGATGATGGTTCCACCGATATTAATTCCAAAATTATTTGAAGTTATTTTATCCATTATTCTTTCCAAATACGTAATGAACAAAAGTGGCGACAAGGGGTCCCCTTGTCTGGTTCCAATACTTGACTGGAACCATTCACCAAGGTCCATTCCTATTCGGACTGCTGAACGGGACGTTCCATATATTTGTTGAAGCAATACCAGTACCTTGTTGTCCACCCCGTACGATTTGAGCACCATCCATATAATTTTGTGTTGGATTGTATCGAAGGCCTTTTGGAAATCTATGAAACAATTATAGATTTTCTTTCCACTACGTTTTGCTTTTTCAGCTAGGAGTCTGAGAATCAAAATTTGTTGAACTGTGCTCCGGTCCTTTCTGAACCCCACCTGTTCCTCTGACATGTATGGATCCAGGTGGTGTTTTAGTCTGTTCAGTAGCACCATGAGTAGAACCTTTCCTGTGTGATTAATGAGAGAAATAGTTCTATAATTTGGACATTGGGTGAGGTCCCCTTTTTTGGGGATCGGTATCAAAATTGACCGTCCCCACTGTTCAGGAATTGTTTCCTCATCCCATGCTCTGTTACACAGTTCGTAAATTTTGTGTCTCAACTTTTCTCCTCCCGCCTGAAGCATTTCCGCAGTGATTCCATCGACACCAGGACTTTTGTTTTTCTTTAATTTGTTGATAGCGTCGGTCACCTCACTGTAAAAAAACAATAATATTTTATTAATTTAGTTAAAAATATCTAATATGATACTTTTATTCAAATAATCTCAGGGTGGGTGTGGGTGTGGGTGTGGGTATAGGTGTGGATGGATGTGGGTGTGACCGAA